TTAAGAAGGGGTGGCTGTATTAATTGTAATGAGGTCAGCCAGCTTGACATAATAGAGATAACAGGGTGTAGAGCTGGATGAACACAGCAGGCCAAGCAGCATCAGAAGGACAGGAAGGCTGACGTTTCGGGCCTAGAAGGGTCTAGGCTCGAAACGTCAGCCTTCCTGCTCCTCTGATGCTGCTTGGCCTGCTGTGTTCATCCAGCTCTACACCTTGTTATCTCAGATTCTCCAGCATCTGCAGTTCCTACTATCTCTGGATGGTATAGAATAAAAGTTCCCTGATTGGGGTTGTTAATCAGGTCCAATCAGAGAGCCCTGGCTGTCATATAAAAAGGGTGACTATCAGAGATACTGACACTCTGGTATCTGACTCTGAATGAGGCAGTACTGTAGTCAAGGATTGTTCATGTGTAAATAAAGGGTGACTTAGTGATGGGATACTGGTTTCTGTGGAGTTGTTTCAGTAGTGAGCTGCCTTCTTGAACTGCTGCAGTCTATGTGCTGTAGGTAGATCCACCATAACTTTAGGGAAAGAATTCCAGGATTTTGACCCAGTGACACTGAAGATATGCAACAAAAATAATTGTTAAGTTGACAAGGACTTTGGGAACTAGTACTTTTGGGTTGTCTGTTATGCCTCCTCGCCCCATACTCTCCCTTTAAATACTACAGTCATAGTAATTGCTCGGTAGAATGCTATTTACCTTCAGTAATACATACTTATAAATGGTGAATTAAAATCACTAAGATAAAACTAGAAAGAATCTCACCAAGAGTTCAGAAGTCCCAAGCTTGTCTAGTGACAGGGATTGTATCCGAGAATAATGTACACCCATCTCTCGGTGAATTCCAGAACATTCTATACATATCAATATTCCAAGATTTGTAGAAAGCCAAGTTGGACCTGCAAAAAAAAGTAAGCAGATTGTAAGCTCTTAATGCTCACTATTACACAACTGATTCAATATAAATCTAGAGTGCTGTGCAAATCAGGTCAGCATACATTCACGTCAGCAATGCTCCAAAATAGTGCTGAGAAAGAAGAAACCTCAAGTAATGATCATTTCCAGCTACAGTAATTTATATAATTGAATCCTATTATTTGATAATTCTCAACATGCAAATTATTTGCTTGGATGTATATTCTTCCAAGCACACCAAAGCTTGGGTAATCTTTTCTGTTTCTCCCAGGTAAATGCATTGGCAAATGCTGTAACAGAAAATACACAAAGTTACATTAAGGAATTGCTGAATGCATAACAATGAACCAGCGGGATAGTACACATGGCTTTGTGTATGAATCTTTGGGGCACATTCCCATTGTGATTCTTGCAGAAGGCCCAGGAGAAATCAATGAAGCTGTTAGCGATGGTGTAAAAGATAATCAAGAGGAAATAAATCCTTTGAAAAAAAGAGGCGATAATATGTTTGGTGCCTTGTAAATAGCTTTAATTTCTCTCATTATATCTCTTATTATCTGATATCAGTATCATTTTTCCCATTTAACCTTTAGCTGTCCTGCATTTATACACTTAATAGGCCATTCTAGTTCTTTTCTTGTAATTTTTTCTTACCTCTTCCTCTTTGTTCCCAATATAAATGTTGCTTACTGGTAACATCTTTCAGCATTGCTTCACAGTTGGGTACAGATCAAAATTAATAGAATGTTTCCTTTGCTTTGCATTTAAATCAAAATTCCAGAGGAGGAAATCTTTGCAGCAGCAATAAAATATTTCAATTTAAGTTTCTGAAATCCTTGTGAGAAGCAGAAATCAGTACATTAATACCTATATTGTTTCTTCAGCCGTTTTTATTCCTCACCTGCTGCCCCACAGTCACAGCACTCGTTATTCCCTGGCATATGCTGGACATCTTCAATGATGGCTTTAGTCAGATCTTCAATACTGTTTTCAGCATCACTGTGGTGTTCACGAAAAGCCACGTTTAGAGCTTCTTGCTTGCAATTCGTTAGAACTGAGATCCACCTTCACATAATACAGAAAGAGTCAAACATTAAACACATGCCATTAATATTACACTGGCCACTTCAAATATCTGCCTAGTTTCTCAATTGCAAACAAAGAGGTAGCTTCTGCTATCCTGATCATTTAAACTGATGTCCAGAAAGCAGTAATATACAGAAAATGTAATACTACACGATAAATTGAAAGGTATAAAGCTACAGATCTAAATATGGAACATTAATTATTTGATTGAAAATTAAGATCTTTGATTCTGTCTGGCTCTCCAATGACATTATGAGTGATAATTTTTAACCTTGCTGCTTGACAGAATGAGTGTGAAGGCAGTAATAAGGGCCCATGGGACTGTCCTGCATGAATCTTGATGCTTGTCTGTGAGTTTAAATCTTTGGCAGAACTGAAGTCCCTTTTAAATATGCAAAGTGAGATCATTTGAAGTCTCATAATCTGACTATAGTTCTAACTAGTGTCCCACAGGTTAAATGGATCCATACAGTCCTTGTGAGGCCAATAAGTTATTTTCTAGCTTCTCTTAAACCTTTCTCTGCATTTTTTCATACACATGAAATTTAAGCGATCTGGCTACGACAGAAAGCATGATCATTAGAACACAAAAAGGAGCAGGAGCTTCAAACATCGGAACATCTTACTGCGAGAGGGGAAATAACTGTGGTTATTGTTGGTTATTCTTGATGGGAAAGACTTTAAAAACAATTGACAAAAATGTGAAAAATTTAAAAGGCATACCAAATTGGAGATGATGAAAACTGAGAGAAGAGAGATGTTGTGGACGTAAAATTATTCCAGGGTAGGGGGAAATGGCTCATCCCCATCCCCTCAAAAGAAAAATCAGTGGCTGGCCAACAGGCCAATTAGAAGCTCGCACTAAAAGCATAAAGTGCTGTGGGCAGCTTAAAAAAGCTCCTCGTGGGATTTCAGCCCCTCTACGGGATGAAATCCCACTCAGCTGACAGATCTAACGGTCCTGGCTGTGTAACAGCTGTGTCGTAGGCCTCCTGCGACTGCAGACAGGCTAATCCAGGAGGCCACATTCACTGAGATCCAACTAAGCTCGGGGGCTAGATGCTGGTGTTTTTGGCAACTGGTTAGGGATTGGAAAGCTGACTAGCCACCTGACCTATATGACATGCTGCTCCCATCTGCACAAAAGACACACAGAGGGGGCATGTAATATCCAGTCCCGTAATTTCATTTAACTTCTGTCAGATGGCAATAGGTAATATAGCCAGCTACCAAACTGGGGACTAGGAAAACTCAAAGGCATGTATAGTGGCTGACCATTACGTATTCTTTCTGACATTCCTTCTACTGACTTTATACCTATACTGAGCATTGCTGTAAAATATACACATTTTGTCAAAGCTTTTCATCTTACATTCATTAGGGTAATTTGCAACAATTACCAATGTAAGAGGAATGTTGGCAAGTAGCCTCTGATTGGCAGAGGCATTGCCATGGGATGCAGCATTAGGATGATGACTGACACTTAACTACCAAGATAGTAGGAACTGCTGATGCTGGAGAATCTGAGATAACAAGGTGTAGAGCTGGATGAACATAGCAGGCCAAGCAACATCAGAGGAGCAGGACAGCTGACGTTGCGGGTCTGGACCCTTCTTCCAGACCTGAAACGTCAGCTTTCCTGCTCCTCTGATGCTGCTTGGCCTGCTGTGTTCATCCAGCTCTACACCTTGTTATCTCAGTTAACTACCAAATTTTGTTTGCATTTTAAACCAGGTTAGGTGACTTGGATTGGCCAAGGCATAGCCTGTTTTGCTGAGCTGAATCTGCATTCTCCTCTCTTTAACAGCTAAATAAAACAGAAATGTGAGTGGTGAAAGAGGAAAACTGGGGAAGGTTTACCTGGAAATAACTGTTGTAGGTTTTAGGCTTGTTGACATCATACAATTGGGAATTGAGGATGAGAAGATAAACGTATAAAATCCTCTCCAACTGATCGATGGTTAATGTAAGCAATGCAATAATGTCAGATATTCACAGATTTGTTAACTAGGTTTTATATTTATTTAAGCCTTACATAGTATATTAAACATAGGAAAACTGATATGATTTAAAATGTGATAGCAGCATAGCAATAGTAGTGTGGGGATATGTTGCTGTTACAGATTGTGGCTGAATGCAATTCTGCTGCTGCTGATAAGACCTAGCATCCACGCTATGGACTGAGTTGCTAGATCTTTTCAAAATCTATCACTTCGTCTCCACAAGTACTGTGTGGTAGTTATACTTTCATGGACAAATGAATTTGGTATAGGTTGACTATTAGTTCCCTTATCATCTGGTAACAGGCCAAGTCTGGCAGCTATGTCCATTAGGACTAAGCCAGTTCCATCCGTAGTGGCAGTATCAAACGACTCCTGGTAATGGACATTGTCATCTGCCACCCAGAGCACATTCTGTGCCCTTGCCCCCCTCAAAGTGTCCTCCAGTTGGTGTTCAACTTGAAGAAGAACTGATTCATCCACTAAGGGAAGTGTAGAAGTGTAGTATATGGTAATCAGCAGGACATTTCCTTTGCCTTGAATTGAATAAAGCTTTCTAGAATGTGGTCAGAAACATGAAATCAATGTATATATTGAATTTTTAATAATTTATGAACTATTTACATATGCGTCAAAAGCACACAGTCAAGTATATATAGCTGTACTGATACAAACTTGGATCTCTCAATTATGATACTATTTCATTCCATGGAGCTCTAGCTTCATAACCCTTTCTGCAATCTACTAGCTACATACAACAATTCATGATTGGACAGCTCTCTACTTACGCCATGCAATCCTGCTCATCATCTGCTAGGAAATGATATGTGCGGTTATCTAAAAGCAAAACACAAAATAACATTACACTAAGTTAACTGAAGGACATAAAGCAACAATCCCATGGCACTATCTGAACATGTTCACATTTGAATTTACAGGCATAAACTGAAAATTATTTAATTCAGGTTCAACATCCATTGGATCTCTGCACAAATGAGCTTAAAGCTCACGTACTTAGTGAAGCGCCATTTACCAGATACTGTACTGGGAACCCAATACTTGTTAGGAAGTCCATAATTCAAGCTTTACTAATTTAAAAGTTGCCTCACTGTGGAATTCAAAATTATGTCACAAATATCCTTTAATTATGTTAACTTGAGGTTCCCCTTCAGAAAGAGAAAAACTTGACAAATTGTTGGGTAGCTCCTGAATTAGCATAATCAGGGCTGAGTTTCACAAGTGTATACACTATAAGTAGAGGTTAGTATTCTTGTTTAGTGGTCTACGTGATTTTCTGTCCTTTAAAATGGATGGAAAAATTACGTAGCCTGCATTCTGGGGGCGTGTAATCACTGTTGCTGGTGTGCATATTATGAAAACTTGTATGGCATGGTAATCCACATGTCTGGATCCCCACCCAGCAGATAATGAAATTTAAATTCAATTAATAAATCTGGTATTAAAAGTTTGTCTAGCAATGACAATTAAATCGTTGTAGATTGCCGTAAATACCCATCAGGGAAGTAAAAATCTGCAATCTGGTCTAGTGAATCACCAGTTCTGGTTGCTGTGCAAGTCCAGATCCATAGCAAGGTGGTTTACTCTTAAAAGCCCTCCGAGTTGGCTTAGCAAGCTGATCAGTTGTATCTAACCTCAACAAAGTCTAAATAAAATGAATGAAACTAGATAGACAATCGAGCAATGAACAAAGCACAGGAAACAGCAATGGCAAACTCAGCCCTGTTAACCTCACAAAATCCTCTCAAACATCTCAGGCCTTGTGACAAAATTGGGAAAGCAGTCCCACAGATCAGTCAAGTAAAAGCCTGACGTTTTCTTAAGATGTGATAATGTCAGAATGACTATGTCCGGTACATGACCATTACCATCTCGAGGAAGGAATTGCCCTATGTGTCATCATCACTGACTCCAACTTCATGAAGTCACATGGTATCAGGTCAGACATGGACAAGGAGACCTCCTGCTGATTACCATATACAGCACATCCCTCAATGGATGAATCTGTTCTTCTCCAAGTTGGACACCAATTGGAGGTCAAATTGAGGGTAGTAAAGAAACAGAATATGGTGAATGCTAAAGTTGACCACCAAGAGTCACTTGGTAGCAGCATACTCACTGAGCTGGCTGAGTGTTAGGGTTCCCACAACAACACAATAAAGGAACACAAATGTGACAAATAACATGGAGAACCATCTCTCAGGATACTATCACACGTATCAATATTGCAACATCTGACTACTAAAAGGAAAAAAAAGACAAACCTTGATCTCAAACACATTAATCAACATAAATCATGAAGTAATGAATAAGTGCCATACAAAAACTGGGGAAAGAAAATCAAATGATAGTTCATACGTGAAATAAGATCAAAGCACTTTTTATCTTCCAAACTGGGTTTCACTTGACAGGTTAGCAGGTTGAGCTTCGCTGGCTGTCGGTTGGGCTGGGGGAAACAGAAATAAAAGATTTTAAGGTGACACATCCTACAATTTCATTGACAAGACACAACTTAGAAGACAATCAAATCCAATGACATTATATTATAACTGATGTCTCTTAATGTTTCAGTAGGCAAATATTTCTCAGAATAAGAACGTTCCGAATGCACTCTTACCCTTAGTTCAGGGGCATTGAAGGCAACTGGAACATCTTCATGCTAATCCTTGATCTACTTAAGGAGTGCCAGGCATTGGTAGTATCCCTCCCTGGGCCAGAAGGCCTGTGTTGAAGCCCCACCTGCCCTGGAGGTGTGTCATTGCACGTCCGAGGTGGTTATTAAAATAACTAGTGACTGTTTGGGCGCCACGACTAATATGAGGACTGTGGAAAGGAAAATAAAATCTACCAACTTGCCAATACTGATTGCTGACCAAGGACTTTCAATGAAAGCCTATGTGTGTAATATGAATATCAGATTTGGCTGTTTGGCACTCCATACTTAAGTGACAAAAGCATAGTCATCAATCCAAGCCTTTCACACAATTGTCTAAAGTAATACTGGGGGAAGCAATAACCTAGTGGTATTATCACTGGACTGTTAATATAGAGAACTGGATAACATTCTGGGGACCTGGGTTTGAATCCTGCTATGGCAGATGGTGGAATTTGAATTCAATAAAAATACCTGGAATTAAGAATCTAATGATGACCATGAACCCATTGTCAATTGTCAGAAAAACCCATCTGGTTCACTAATGTCTTTTAGAGAAGGAAACTGCCATCCTTACCTGGTCTGGCCTACATGTGACTCCAGACCCACAGCAATGTGGTTAACTCTTAAACAGCCCAATGGGCATTTAGGGATGGACAATAAATGCCACCTGGTCAGTAACGCCCTCATCCCATTAACAAATAAAGAAAAAAAAACTAAGACATTAACTTTATTTATCTTAATATTTTTAGCTCTGGCTTACTGTCTGCAAGTTAAATACAGAATATTTTACAGTTGTAACTCTCAGGAAAACTACTGTTTCCATTTAGATGTTAGCATTGGCTCCGTGTCCGAGGGTTCAAACTCCACTTCAGGTTTTGAGCACATAATTGAGGCTAACTTTCAGCAGAATAATTACAGGAGATGGCATTATGGGAGGTGCCATCTTTCAGATAACTTATTTAACCAAGGTTCCCATCCCTTCATCATGGAATCCACAGAATCCCTACAGTTTGTGGAAGCGGGCCATTCAGCCCATCAAGTCTACACTGACTGTCCAAAGAGCATCCCACCCCAATCCACCTCCTACCCTATCCCTGTAACCTTTCCCATTAGTTTAAAAGAGCAACTGAGTTATCATATCAGTGTTCTTCAATTAACATCACATTAAACAAATCAGCTTGTTATTAATGATATGGCTATGCCCTGTTTGGATGCTAAAACTGTCTATGCAATTATGATGTAAAACACTGCACTTCAAAATTAACTGAGATTTTAAGAGATGCCAATTTATTGCTACTATGGGTTGAAGAATTATCTTCAGTCAGAAATAGAATTGCCATTATACAATGTCCTCTCAATTCTCTTCGGGGTAGATATAACAGAGTATATGGTTAATACTAAAAATAAATGTACATTTGGCACGCTCCCCAATACTGTCAGGAATGTAAAACATTTTATTTATGTACTTATTAATTTGGATTTTGCCTAAACCAAGAAACAATATTACCATGTGAATAGTGTTTGTTTGGATATGGAGAATACTCAGAAAAGCGTTCCATAATTATGATCAGAGAATTCATAGTGATATATTAATATATTTCAACACCCTCCACCTCACTACAAGGTTGATGTAACTGAAATTGGCAGGTGAGCAGTTAAAGAGAGGAACCTTTTACCTGCTGAAACCCTGTGCACATCTGACATTTCATGATTGAATTCTGTATAGAAAGGAAGTGCTTATTAAGGCAAATTTAAATTTAGATTTTAGATTTTATTGTCACATGGTAGCCGCATACATTTGTGCAAATTATGTCAATAGAGCCCTATGCACATAACCAAGGCCTAAGCGGGTATCTCAGCTTTGCAGCAAGTTTGCAACTGGTCGCCTGAGAGAAAAGGCACTAATGTTATGTATAAAATTTGCCTTGTGGCACCAACATTTCTGATTGTCTCAAGAAACACCATGGCCTCCTGTTCCTAATGTCCATCTCTTTTCTCTGGTAGGACATCTTCCTGCCACTCAGCTGGATGCCAATGAGCAGCCCTAGCATTATCTGATCTTTGTTTGCCAGCGGCCACTTGTTATACTCTTAATGTCTATTCCTGTTAGAAAATGGACTCAGTTCATTTGAAGGAGGCGTGCAGCGACTTTCTGTTGCCTCTGATGTGCAGAAAATTAACTCACTGGAAACCAATCTGAGCTAAAGTCTACACCATCATATACAGCCACTCTATATATTTACTCACAATGGCAATTTCCTTTTAAATTTCTTAAGGTTTTCCATATTTCCTCCTAATTTACTCCTTGTTGTTCTCGGGAAAATAGTCTTATTGAATATAAAGGACTTAAGGAGATGTTATTCAGTCAGATGACTGTAAAATGATTTGCATTTTCTGTCAAACAAAACCAATAAATGATGCTCCAATCTCTTTCTCATGCTGAACTCACTGTTCCATGTGGAATGGTCAGGTAACAGTTCTTTACGATGCATTTCCTCTTCTGCCAAACTTTCCTCAACCTGAATAGGAGAAAATGCATATTATATGCTATATGAAAGAACATTTCACCTTGAAAATATTATCAAATACATTTGTAACAGCAATGCACTGTTTGGAATTCATACTCTCATCTGTAGGGTCCTCCTTGGCTCTAATGTCATGATAGCAAATACCATCTGTAGCAAACCATATTCACCTTATTGCTTTGTCTAATTTTTTACTCATCCACTGGTTGTTAAAGGCTGGATGATGCTGACTCTGCTGAAGACTGTACTACTGCCTCTTTTCCTACACTCCACATTTGTGCCACCACTTGCTCTGACTTCACAATTAAGTTTAACTGCAATCTGCATCACCTGCACTGTTGACAGCATCTCCAGTTAGAGACAGTCCTGGAGTAATTCTGTCTCGTAGTTGAATGACGTGGTCATAGTGTCAACATCAGACAGGACACAAGGATGAGGCAGAAATTCTTGCAGCTCAACATGGACAAAGTCAACATTTCAGAAATTCTGTGCCTTTGCCTTTAATCCCTAATTTCTTCATGTGTGCAATCTAAACTGTGTTTAAAACCTCTCATTCAATCCAAGGCTATCTTCTTCCAGTTCTGAAATATAGAAACAAAGGAAATAGGAGTGGGAGTAGACCAGACAGCCCTTTGAGCTTGCTTTGCCATTCAATATGATCATGGCTGATCATCTTACTCAGGTCTGAGTCCTAACTGTGAAGCAACTTGGGATGTTCTGCTGCAGTTAAGTTGCTTCATAATGCAAGTTGTTGTTTATGGCTTAGTGAGCTTATCTAAAGAGCTGTAGAGCCATAGAAAGCAAAACAATCAAAAGTTTGATATCTGTTCTGAGTTATAAGCTCTCATGCCACTCAGATGATGATATTCTTAGCAGTTAACTGTTACAGTCGCTAGAAGTGCATGCTTTTGTGCTTTCAACAAAGACATGACAATACCCCAACAGACAGACATCTGATAACATTGATTATCAAGGTAACATGTGAATAATAGTTATACAATCAGAAAATTCTGGATACGGTCAGCAGGTCAGGCAGCATTTGTAGAGAAAGGAACCGAGTTAATGGGATGAATCATTCAGACATTGAATATTTTCAGCAGTCAGATCAATACTTTTAAAAATTTAATCTATTTTCTAATCAGCATGTTCAGGGGTGTTACTGCACACTTCTGGAGTAGGTAGGACTTGAACTTGGGTCTCTTGGTCTAGGGTTGGGGACACTACCTCTGTGCCACAGAACCCTAAAATTTGGAGGGTTCTGTCCCTTGGTGGTTTTGAACCACCAATCTTCCGGTTAACAGCCGAACACACTGATCTATGAGAATTAAAGACTGTTCTATATTTTCTGAAAAACTTGCTCAGAGATGTTATTACACACGTCTGGAGAAGGTAAGACTTAAATACAGGTCTCCTGGCTCAGAGGCAGTCAGACTACCACTGCAATACAAGAGCCCCGTCATGACCATTTTTAGGTCCTGACCTAATTCTCAGCAGCAGTGCAGCTTGTGAGATAACTTGTCAGGAAGTGTCCAATTAAAAGACCCCCCTCAGGGATGTCATTCAACTGGGGACTACTTACTGCAATCAACAGATTGCAAGAAAATTGTAGAGAATCTCAGACATGCTGATTTGCATCTTTTAAAAATTTAATCTATTTTTCCTAACCAACCTGTTCAGAGATGTTATTTCATACCTCTAGAGCAGGTGGGACTTGAACACAGGCCTCTTGGCCCAGGGATAGGGACTGTACCTCTGTACCACAAAAGTCCCCCAGTTTGCATCCTATAGTGGTAGATTTCATTAATTTGTCATGTCCATATTGACTTCTGTTATCTGACAAACTGCAGTCACAGTGGAGATCTAGTGTGACACCAATAAAGTCCTACTTGCACCAGAAAAGTGCAGTTAATTAGTTGTTTATAAGCCTTAATTGGCTTCCCACTGCTGCTAGGTGAATTATTGTTACCACAGCAAAGCAAGATCTGCGAACAGTGCATGGAGGTAGGAATACATTCAGAACCAGCAAAACCCCTTTTCTCAGTGATTTTATCAGTCCTTCCTATCTCCAGTTCCCTGGGAAAGTTCCCTAGAATGTTTCACATTGATGACCGCTCATCAAAAGTTAAATAATGACAGGTTTGAAGCAAGAACAAAAGGAAGGGAAAATGGGAATCAGGGTAAAAGTCAAAAGAGAAGCCCCATGATACCATGGGAAGCAGAAGGAATTAAAAGACAACAGAAATGGTGATACACGGCGAAAGGAGATGGTAATGCGATAAATAAAGAAACGAAACCTGGGTCTAGTGCAGGAATATAGATACTTTCTAATTAACCTATTCAGCAATTTTGTTCCATGCATCTGGGACAGGAGTGTCTTGTATGAAGGACTCCTGGATCAGAGGTCAAGACATTACCACTGCACCACAAGAGCCCTAGAGGAGGGATGTAGGAATAACAGAATCAGTGTTAACAGCTGTTCAGAAAATGGACAAAGAGATTATAGCCCGAAATTGATTAACTCAAATTTAAGTCAAAAGTTTGTAAAGTATCTCATTGTTCCTTGGGCTTAACCTCTAATGATCACTGGAACACGGTCGGTGATTGAGAATGAAAAGTCCAGATTTGGAGATGGAGAGAGATTTAAAATGACAGGTAACGGGAAGAACTAAAATTTTCCAAAATGATAACCCAATCTACATTTGGTCTTTGCAATGGAGAGGGCATCACATTGTGAGTAGCGAATACAGTGTATTAAATAGAAGAAGTACAAATAAATTGTTGTATTATCTTGAAAGAATGACTGAGCCTTAAACAGTGTGAAGGGAGGATCCTAAAATTGCATCACCTGTGCTTGCAAAGGAAGGGGAGTAGGTGTTGGTATTGCTTGAGGAACGGACTAGACTGTTGCAGAGGAAACTGATCCTTTTGAATTCCCATCCCTGTGGTTGATTGGAGCCTTGATTGCAACTGCTCCATTTCTCACTTCTCTCATTCTTTCCAGTCCCTCCCAGAACCACGATAGAATTTCATTGACATTATCAATTCCACTTTCAGCAGTTCATTCTTTGCAAGTTTTGCCACTTCCTCCATGATTTCACCACCAAACACATTCTCCCTCCCCTTTCTTGACAGGACCATTGCCCGCTATGACACCTGACTGTCTCCTCAAACCTCCTTTCTTCATTATAATCATTCACCTAATTTCATCTTAACTGACTACCATTTCAATGAAGCTTGAGGAAGAGCACTTCATGTTGTAATTAGTAATTTTTGTACCTTTTAACCAACATTGAGTTCAACCAATTCAAATCATAACCTCTGCCCCCATTTTATTCAGAAAGCAACAATTGATAATGATACTGAAATTCTGATTTAAGCATTTCCTAGCTCCATCTTTTGTTTTTACCTTGTTCCAGTAACTTTCCTTTCACCTTGCACCACCATTGCTTTTGTCATCTAATCTCATTTTCTTTCCATCATATCACAGACTTCCTCTTTTGTTCTTCCTCTCTTCCTTCCGGTGCCTTCTTACTTGCTTAAAGGGTGTTACACAACTAACATTTCCAGTTCAATTGAAAATCATTGATCTTAAATTTTAGTTCTATTTCTTTCTGCACAGATGTTGTCTGACACATTGAGCATTTCCAGCATTTCAAAATTTTAGTTCAAAATTTCAGCATCTGCAATATTTTGCTTTTGTGCTCGTGAATAATATTTATTTGAGTAAAGCATCTAAGGTTTACTGGTACTTATTGTTTCCTATAAGGAATGAAATCTTGCAATAGAGAAATGGAGGACAGCAAAGCAAAATAAAGAGAGTTTTTTTTAAAAAAGCACTATGTATTTATATTTGTGCTCAGGAGTTTCTAAGATCAACCTTAACATATATTGCTAATAGTAGTAAAAGGCAATACTTTCAGTGGAAAGGGGTTAATACTGTTCAAATGCCTTTTTCTAAGAAAGGCTTTTGTTACATTACTTTGTACAAAAGTATTAAAACTACAAGACATTAAAAAATATAGAAGACTATAAAACACAAAAGCTCATTTTGCACAGACCTCCGTGTTTCAAAAAGATAAGTAAGTGCCTCAGGCTACTTGATCATTATAGCAATGTACTGCTTATCATTGAATAACTGAACAGTTGGTTTCCATGGCTACAATTCTGTAAATACAAAATCTGACAGCAGCAGAATGCAGCCAGTCTAAATCCCAAAAGAAACAGGGGCTCACGGAAGGCATATCCCACTGGAAGCAAATGCTTTCGGTCAACAATCTTTAAGTAGATGAAAAGAGCAGTGACACTAACCCATCACTTTTCTTATACAGGATTCCAGTTTTCTCAGTGCCATATTGCTTATTGCCCTGGAGTTGGTGCATGCTGTAAACGGACTGGCGACTCACAGAATCCTACAGGAACAGAAAATATAAACAAATGATAATAACTGATAATATCTGTAACTGCACAAAACTCTTTTTTTGAAAGAGGAGTCTCTATTCAGGGGAGCAGTAGCATAGTGGTAATGTTTCTTAACCTGTAATCCAGTGGTCTGGACAAATGATCCAGAGTTATCAGTTCAAATCCATTAAATAAAGCTGAAACAAAAAGTTATTTACCAGTAATGGTGACCATGAACTACTGGGTTATAGTTAAAAACTCATCTTGTTCACTGATGTCTTCTGGGGAAGGATATCTGCCATTCTCACTCAGTCTCGATTAGTTGTGCATCTAGACTAAGAGAAACATGACTGATCTTACATGTCCTCTAAAATGCCTTGCAAGCTATTTAGTTGTACTTAACTACTATAAAAATAATAAACAATAAAACCAGAAGGAGCATCTGATGAGTGCCCAGACACTGGAGAAAATGATCTTCAGCTGCCTCATCAATGACCTTCTTCCATCATAAGGTCAGAAGTGGGGATGTTCACTAATGATTGCACAAAATTCAGTAGCTTTAGTGTCTCTTCAGATATTAAAGCAATCCATGCCCAAATTCAGCAGGACCCGGACAATATTGAGATTTGGGCTGCCAAGCGACCAGTAACATTCATGCTACACAAATCCCCGATAATGAAGATGTCCAACAAGAGAGAAACTAACTATCGTGCCTTGATCTTCAATGGCATCCTGGGGATTACCATGCCCATAAAGTGAACTGAACTATTCATGTAAATACAAAGGCTGCAAGAGTTGGTCAAAGGCTAGGAATCATGCAGCAAGTAACTCACTCAAAGCCTGTCCACCATCTACAAGGCACAAGTCAGGAGTGTGATAGCATACTCTGCAGTTTCCTGGATGAGTGTAGCTCCAAAAGCACTCAAGAAATCAGACCTCTTGATTGGTACTGCATCCACAAACATTCGTCTCTCCATCACCAATGTTTAGTAGCAACAAAGTGAACCATCTATAAAATGCACGGCAGAAATTCACCAAAGTTGCTAAGACAGCACCTTTCAAACACAACCACCATCTAGAAGGACAAGGTCAGCAGATACATGGGAACGCCAGCATCTGCAAATTCTGCTTCAAACCACTCACCGCCCTAACTTGGAAATATATATTAATTCCTTCAATGTCGCTGGGTCAAAATTCTGGAACTCCCTCCTTAACAGCATTGTGGGTGTACCTACATCAAATTGACTGCAATGGTTCAAGAAACAAATTATCATCATCTTCTCAAGGGCAACTAGAGAGGGACAATAAACGTTGCTAGTCAGCAATGCTCTTAAATAAAGGTGCAGCCAACTCTGTCAAATATCCAATGTCCACCCAATTAACATATGGGTACATGTGCCAACATTGGGAAAGCTGTCCCACAGGCTAGTCAAACAACAGCTTGGCTAAGTCCTATTCACAGAATCAAACATGTAGTCATCATCTCAGCATTGTCTATCACCATTCCAGGTGGGTTTTATTCCATTGTCAGGACATCATTACATGTTAAATTAGACAAAATTACAGGTCAACGGTGATGCAGTGGCAGGCATTTGAGAGGATTTTTCATAATACAGAGTAGACCTATTTCAGTGAGTCAGACAAATTCCAAGGGATGGACCCACTGTCCATGGTTAACGAGAAACGTTAAGGATAGACTCATAGAGCTGTACAGTATAGAAACAGACGCTTCGGGCCAACTTGTCCATGCCGACCAGATATCCTAAATTAATCCAGTCCAATTTGCCAGCATTTGGCTCATATCCGTCTAAACCCTGCCCGTTCAAATACCCATCCAGCTGCCTTTTAAATGTTGTAAATGTACCAGCCTCCACCACTTCCTCTGGCAGCTCATTCCATAAACACATCACCCTCTGCGTGAAAAAGATGCCCCTTAGGTTCCTTTTAAATCTTTCCCCTCTCACCTTAAACTTATGCCCTCTAGTTTTGGACTCTGCCATCCTGGGGAAAAGGCCTTGGCTATTCACCCTATCCATGCACCTCATAATTTTATAAACTTCTATAAGGTCACCCCTCACCCTCCGATGCTCTAGGGAAAATAACCCCAGCCTATTCAGCCTCTCCCCGTTACTCAAACCCTTGTAAGTCTTTTGTGATCCATGTCAAGTTTCACAACATCCTTCCTCTAGCAGGGAGACCAGAATTGAACATGGTATTCCATGGCCTAACCAATGTCCTATACAGCTGCAACATGACCTCCCAACTCTTATACTCAATGCATTGACCAATAAAGGCAAGCATACTAAATGCCTTCTTCACTATCCTATCCACCTGCGGTGATACCAAACTAAAAGAAAAAGCATTTAACTATGCAAAGACATGTGGCAGATCAGATTAGATGGAATATATAAAACACAGTAAAGAATGACCAAAAAATTAATAAAAGGGGAAAATCTGGTGTATGAGAGAAAGCTAGCCAGAAATATAAAATCAGATAATGAGCTTTTATAATTATATAAAGAAGGGTAAAAAAAATAGTGTTCGTCCAATAGAGAATGAGACTGGAGAATTAATACTGGAAAATAAGAAAATGGCAGATGAATTGAACAGGTATATTGCATCTGTCCTCACTGTAGAGGATTCAAGTAACATCCTAGTAGCAGCAATAAATCAGGAAATGGAAAGAAGGGAGGAACTCAGGAAAATCCCAATCACCCACTCATTGGTACTAAGTAAACTGTTGGAGTTGCAGGCTGACAAGTACCTGGTCCTGATGGACTTCTTCCTTCGGGTCTTAAAATAAGTGGCTAGCGAGATTGTTGGTGCATTGGTTTTAATTAACCAAAACATCCTTAATTTGAGAGAATGGTCCCATTAGATTGGAAGATAGCATTATAATTCCTTTATTCAGAAAGGGAGCAGTGTGAGTAAGCTCAGTTGGCTGGATGGGTATTAATAATACCAACATTGTGGGTTCAACTCCTACATTGGCTGAGGCTACCATGAAGGCTGCTGCTTCTCAACCTCTCCCTTCGCCTTAGGCATGGTGACCCTCACATTAAAATACCACCCGTTGTCTCTCTCTCTCTCTCTTTCTCTCTAAAGAGAGAGCAGCCCAATGGTCCTGTAGGACTATGCTGACATTACCTTTACTTTTATTCAGAAAGGGAGGGAGACGGAAAGCAGAAAACTATAGGCCAGTTGGCTTAACATCGATCATATGTATGATGTTAAGAACTATTTTTAAATAAGTTATAGCAAGGCGCTTGGAAAAGTTCAGGGTAATTAGGCAGGGTCAATAGGGTATTATGAGAGGGAAATCATGTTTGATCAATTTATGGGAATTCCCCAAAGTTGAAACATATACAATGGATAAAGGGGAACCACCAGATGTACTGTACTTAGATTATCAGAAGGCATTTGATGAGATGCCACATCAAAGGGTATTGAAGAAAATAGAAGCTCGTTGTGCAGAGGTATCATTTAATAGCAAGTCTTTTTCAGATTGGCAAGATGTAACAAGTGGTGTGCTGCAGGAATGGAAAGTATGGTTCCCAAATTTATTGGTGGTACAAATATAAGTAGGAAAGTAATTCGTGTGTAGGACATAACAAGCAACAAAAATATATAGAAAGGGTAAGTCAGTGAGTAAAAATGTGGTAAATGGAGTATGTTGAGGGAAAGTGAAATTGTCCATTTTTCATTATCAAATAAGAGAGATTGCAGAGCCCTGAGATTCTAAGGGATCTGGATGTCCTGGCACATGAATTGCAAAAAAAAAAAAAGCTTAACATGGAGATTATCAAGTAATTTGAAAAGTTAGAATATAATCAGCTATTGCAAGGGGAAGTGAATACAGAATAATGAGGTTATGCTTCAGTTAAATATGGCACTGATGAGACCATGTCTGTAGTACTGTGCACAGATCTGGTCACCTTGTTTCAGGAAAGATGCTGAAATGCAAGGTGTGTGATTTATATACGTTAATATAACTTTTTTCAAATGTTTGTATTCAAAGTTACTGGCATATGGGTGCTGGTCAATTTTTGTGAAGGGGGTTTAAAAATAACTAAGTCATTCCTTTTGGAATCATGATCTTAAAGCAGTTCATGCCTTCTTGAGTGTTAATAGAAGTTTGTTTATATTGTGGGTGGTTTATGATACAAGAGAGAAAACATCAAGCCATTAGCATGGTACAGTCCAAGATAAGCAAGTTTTTAAAAATAAAATCAATTGAGATGTTTTTGGGCAGTTCAAAAGATAACTGAGTGGGATTAGAGTCAAGGACAACCCCTTCTAGAAAAAGGAGATTTTCCAGAGTAGTTAAGGAAATAAGTTACTTAAGTGAAACAGTAAAGCTTGTGAAACTTCCAGATGAAGAGCACTTGATTAGGACTCTAGATTATTAAAAAACTGAGAAAGTCTAAACTCTCAGCTGTGAGAGCGATCAAAGCAAAAGGAACTTAGGACTGGAACTGAGAAGAAGCAGTTAAATCAAATGTACAAACTTGATAGGGAAGGAGGTTCTTTGGATTTTTGGGTACCTTTAATATGATGGTATTGGCAAATGGATGCGATTTTGTTTTGCTTCTATTTAGAAATCTTTCAAACTGTGTTATATGTACATAGCTTAGTTTGTTTTATTTTTATTTATTTTATGTAATAAACTATTGCTAAAGCCAAATCCACAGCCTTATTTGCAATGTTTCAGTGAAAGATTGCCATGTTAAACTTAGAAAAAAATATGATCTACTGAGCCAGATTTCACTTTGGGACCAACTTGTTCAGTAATAACATAGTTGGGATCATTGCAATGTAAACTACTCTGAGACAGTTCAGAGAAGGTTTATACAATATCAGAATGGGTGGGTTGTTTTGTTAGGAAAGATCAGACAGACTTGGTTTATACCAGAGATAGTAGGAACTGCAGATGCTGGAGAATCCGAGACAACAAGGTGCAGGGCTGGATGAACACAGCAGGCCAAGCAGCATCATAGGAGCAGAGAGGCTG